GCAGTATAACTAAACATAAATCTCTCTTGAGTTAATCAAAAATTATATAAAACAATAAATATATATTTTGAAAGTTATTCATAATATATCTCTCTTCTCGTTCTTCCCAATCTTTCGATAGAAATTATCAGTTTTATATCACATATATGAAAATAATGAATCACATTAATAACTTCTCAAAAAACGATTATAATTCCCTCTAATAAATATCCACATGCATTTTAATTACTTCCTGTGTCACAAATTAGAGTAAATACTTATCCACATGGTTTCAAAAGAACGCTCATTTTTCACGCTAAAAAATAAACTCTTGCATGATTCATATATTTCCTGCCTCATTTATATTTATAAACAACTGAAGTTATTCATATGCTGCACCAGCTGAACAGCCCCCTTTATTTATTGTCTACACTCAAATTTCGGCAGCATCGAAATAAACCCTTGCATATTAATTATCCGTTTCCGGTTCTGACAAAAAATAAATCATAAGCTGAACATTTCACATGTGAGTGTCGAGTGGATTCTTGCCTGCAAAACTTTTAGATTTTAATGTCGTTAATTAATCGATATATTTTCCTTAACCTTCCCCAGCTGAAAATGGCTAAAAAACCCATAGCCAGACAAGCAATTAGAAAAACGTTGCAGCAGACCGGCAGCCGTCAAGTTGCCCCACAGCAACAGCAACAACTACAATAGCCCTACCCAAAGGAAAAGCGAACAACAACAGCAGCAGCAACTGCCACACATGCCCCCTGCTCGTGCCCCCTGCCTCAGTCCCAACCACTCTCATATGATTTACAGTCTCCAATACACGGAACGACGTCTCTCAAAGGCCTTTGGCAAAAGTTAAGAAATGAAATTTCAAGAAAATTGCACAAACAACAGGAAGTCGACAAACGGCGCGGCGCCTTGCTCTGAGCGAGAAAATATTGTAAAACTCTGGGCTATAAAGTAAATACACACGATACATATCGGCAGGCAACAGACGGCAGCAGCAGCAGGAACAGCAAAAAAAGGTGAAGAAGCAAATAAAAAACAAGAATGCGAACAACACAAAAGTCGTTATCTTAATTACTTTTATAGCTTCGATTTGGAGGGGAGAGAACAACTACAAATACGTGAGTGTAAGCCGAAAAAAAAATAAGAAAATAAAAAAACAACATCTAACCAAGTTTAAGCTTTAGATAAAACTTTAAAGCAGCGTCCTTTCCAACACTGGGTAAACGTAATTAGAGCTAAGCGCGTGATGTGCTTTCTTTCGTGACACGAGCACGGTCGTGCTTAGAAATCAATATCAGAAATTCTACTTGCTTAAAAACAATTGGAAACTTATAGCCGGCAAAACTGCAGAAGAAAAAGACTTTCACGATTGCCACGCCCACAGGTTAGCCAGATAATACTAATACTTTATCTGAAAAGAGTATATGACATGAGTAAATACATGCCCAATATTGAATGAAAGTAATATATTGAAATAAAAAGTATTTTAAAAAAATCGCAAAAAAAATCAGTCCTGGACATAGTTGAAAAGTAACTGCTTTGTGATTCAGTTAATTTTCTACTATGTCCATAGGTAATTTCTATTTTAGGGCGTGATCTCATCTTCAACTTAGGAGATGTTCTTTTGGTGAGTCTAGTTCCGAAAATAAACATGCCAAAAACGAACATACTCTTGTTCACCTTGTGTAAGCGTAGCTCTTAAAATACACATGCAAAAAACTAATATGCTCAAAGGAATATAGTTAAGCTAAGAATAAAATTGAATGAATGTAATGATTATATTAATATAAAAATTTATAAAAAAAAAGAAGCTTAAATCTGTCAAAAGGAGTTTCCTAGTATATTGGTTTTATGGATCTAAAACTGTCCCTTCAAATCAGTGACTTTTAAACTGTGCCTTTCGTCGATTCCCTGTTTTGGACGCGGCCCTGTCCTCTGGTCTAGATCTTAAGAGGAGCTCTTTTGAAAGAGTCCAGCTCTAAACAATCACATGCAAAAATAACCAATATACTTCCATTCAATTTGTGTACAGAGTATGAGAAAAATGATTAAGAAAGCGTGCATGTTGTGGTAATATTTTTAGCTTCCCCCATTGAAGATGCTGTTCGTCTCATGTCATTAATGTACAAACCCGTCACTCGCCCATCTCTACTTTGTAAGATGATATAATATGTGAGAGCCCACCTCTTATGGCGCTATCTCTATGCTATCTGATGCTGCCTCATTAAGCTGAAGGCTTGCCATAGAAAAGCTCTGCATATTTATGCAGTTCATTATGACACATTTTGTCAGCTTTCAACCGCCCAGGGGCGGTGCCTCATATGTTTGCCCAGTTAACATACACTCACACACACACACACACACACACACAGACACCCAGTTAATGAAGTGGCTCAGCTTCAGTCAATATAGAATCCCCTCCCACTGAGGGGCATAATCTCGCTATGCAGGTTAGTGGGGCCCGTCCTTGAGCCTGTTTATAGAGATTTAATGAGCTGCCAGCTAAATAATACATTTGCGTAGCTAATTTTCCGCAGCACACGCTTTAAAGTGGCACTTAATTAACATTGCGTATACGACAAGTGAGCCGGCGAAATCTTCAGCTACAGACAAAATCAATTTCCCCACAATGCCCGGAAGCAGCACAACGGATATGAAAGACGACTGCCTGCGGCGACTAGGCAGCCAAGGCAGTCATGACATGGCTTCAAACATAATAAACAACAGCGACAACAGCAACAGCAGCAATAACAACAACAACAGCAACAGCAACAACAACAAGAACTACAAACAACATCCAGTTGAACAAGCAGAGCAACAAAAACAACTGCAAGGCTTTTGGAGTTGGAAATTATTTTGACATTTGGCATGGCCGCAAAATATTTTCGTGGCATGCTAAAGTGCTCGAGAAGCCCAGCATCAATAAGCTGTTGACAACTTGAAAGTAGCAGCCAAGCACTCTAACTAGATGGGCGTGGCAGTCTAGTGTATGAGTTGAAGGGGGCGGGAACAGGGGCTGGGTTGGGATATGGCTGGGGTACTTCGTTTATTGAAGTGCGCTAAACTTTTCGCCGGCAACAACGTCGCTTGTTAATATTGAGACGCGCATTATTTATGGCAAACTTTTAGCAACACTTTGCGATTGATGGGCGTGGCATGGTCGAGGGCGTGGGCTTTATACTTGGCGTCTGGGTTACTTTGGCTGCGAGCAACTTTTAACGAGTTGCCGACTGCAAACTGCAAATGTTTGCACCTAGTCGCTGCAATTTTGCCGCTTAGTTTTACATCAAATGCAACGCAAAGAAGTTGCAAGCTGCTTAACTCGTTGCAAGCACAGCAGAGGCAACAACAGAAAGCAAGTAAAAGTGCTGCCGTCAGGAGTGCATGACTAGGAGATACACTAAACTCAGCGCCAAGCTGCCGTTAAAAGAGTTCCAGCTTCCTTCTATACATACATATAAATACAATGCAAGCTCTCTGCATCTACCGTGCTTCTCTTTCCGTCACCCCACACTATTTTTGAGAAATGCGTTCTAGATTAACCTGGGTGTTTGCAGTCCGAACTTTATGAAAGGTTCAGGGTATAAATATGGTATACAAAAATAATTGCATAACAAAGCACAAGACTCTACCTTAAGACTGTGAATTTTTCTCTATTGCAGGTGGAAACGTTGGAGGTATCCTGAGAGTAAAATTATAAAAATATATATATATACAATATCTACATACGAAGTTTGCAAAATCTATGTTTACCAATATCAAAAAAACTCTCCCCGAGTTCCACAAATTATTTAAAACTCATTCTGCATATGGTATAGATCGACCAGATCAGCTAGAGTTAGCTTGTCATTATGATACTTTGCATTCATACTTTATGGGCTCTTCGGTGCTTTCCTTTTACCTGTTACATACATTTTCACAAAAAACATTATACCCTTAAACATTTGCAATGGGTTTAGGGTATTAAAACACACACACACAAAATAAAAGTTGCTGCAACTTGACAAATTATACGCAACGTTGCGCCTGCAAGTAGCTGCCCCTCATCCCTGCCCCTCTCAACAACTCTAAGCTCCGGCTGAGTACTGTCCATGGCAACGCAATCGCCCATCTCAGACACTAGAAACCATAAGCATTTCATTATTACAACACAAATATGTTGAAAATTTCATTAGACGGCTGCATTGTTCCAGCAGCCAACTGACCCGTCTAAAAGTCGAAAAAAGTTGCTGGCCCCAAACCCCGAAACCCAAACTGAACTAATGATAATTTTAGCTTGTTGATATGTGCACAGACTACACTTGTTAGTCAGGCTTGTGGACTTGGGTTCGGGAAAATTTCTAAATAAAGTGTTAAGCACATGCAGCTTGTCAGAACTATTTTCATAAAATAGATGCTGATAATATGCTGAGTCTGGAATAGGTAAATATGTTGTTTAGAAGATTTAGTGGCATGGAATATCTGTTCAGTAATATTATATTTTTGGTGAATGGATATATATCCATCCTTATCTAAAATCGTATCCATATTCATTAATATTTAAGTAAGCTTATATCTATATTTATTTTATTTATCTATATACTTATTGCAGATCGAGTATATTTCCGATATTCGATAACTTGCCTTGTTTGCAAGTAATCGATTAAAATCGGTTTCGAAATTCTGTTTTTTGAGCAATTTTGGTAAATAATAAGAGCTAAAATCACCAAACTTGACATGTAGCTTCTAGAATATTATACCCATATATTCAAGTATCTTTCATTTTATACATATCGCCTGTTGAAAGAAGAGGGATCAGGGTATCCCCTAGTCGGGAGCTCCCGACTAGAGCCTCTTACTTCTTTTTCACTGGTTTCATTAAAATAAACACAAACTTATAAATGCGTACATATTCGATTATAATCCATGTAATAATTATTAATTGAATTTTGAATCATTTGATTTCGCGTTTACTTTCATTTATTCAGCTTTATATATGTATGAGAAAATCGTTTCCTAAATAAAAAGCAAGCGTTGAGATATTCAAAAATAACAGATTGTATAAATTGGGAGACATAAATTCAGTTCTAGTCTTTTATGGAAGTAGTTAACATCCCAAAACAAAAAATTAACAATCAAAATACGAGCAGTTCAATAGAAAAAAGCTAATCGAAAATTTTATATATTTATTTTTTACGGTATGTCTCTTAAGCATTTAGAGCACCTGCCTATAAGTTCTTCAAGTGCATTCAATACGCAGATATTCAATTGAGAACATGTTGAAGCGGACTGGACACAAATCGCATGAAAAACGGGAAAATGTGGAGGCCACTTTACTGGTAAATCGTGATTATGGATTCATGAAGACCACCAATACGGGCTCACCGTTACCAAAGAAAACGAATCCCTTCGATCCACAAATGCTGATCGACCGTCAGCAAGGTGCCCAACGGAGATCAGTTTCCTCGATTTCTGAATCGCGGCCAACGACTTCTAGTGACTCTTCATTCGAGAAACTAGCACAAAACCCTTTTCGCAAATCGGAAATGACGTTTGAAATGAAGCGAAAGCTGTTCGAAGGGTAAAAAATGATACATATCGCTCATTTTCTTGCCGCGCCTTATGGCGAATTCACCAAATGGGAAATTTACCATAACGCGCGGCAAGAAAATGAGCGGTATTTATCATTTTTTACTCATCGAACAGCTTTCGTTTCATTTCAAACGTCATTTCCGGATTGCGAAAAGGGTTTTGTGCTAGTTTCTCGAATGAAGAGTTACTAGAAGCGTTGTCATCGATTCATCTTCCCAATGTTGAACATAAGCTGCCCAAGTATTCCAAGCGAGACTCTCAGCAGCATGCCTTGCAAGAGATGGAGGAGTTCTGTCGTGCCATGAACATCAAGATAAGCAAGGACTTCTACAATTAGATACAAATATAACACTTTCTACACCACAATACACACATCGGTCTTACACACATATGTACATATATATTTATACATATTTTCTGAGTCAATAAACAGCTGGAAACTATTTTCGCTTGCATCGGAGAGTTCTGGTAATTTTTGTCATGTCACTTGTACCTTTCAGATATACTGGGAGTCCACAACGCTTGGCTTTTGGTATACTGAGCTGCTGAGGCGCGATGGACAATTTCGTAACTGGATATCCACGGATCGTCCAAAGGTAAGCCCCCCCCCCCCCATCTAATAGCATCCCCCATTTCAGCCGTTTTTTACGCTTGAATAGTATATATATATATCAAGTATCTTTAATTTTATAGCTATCACCACCTCCCCGCTACTTCCTCATAGCTATAAATCAAGTAAATAAACTAGTTTAGGCTGCCCACAAATATAAGCTACAATTTAAATGAAATTGACTTTTTGAGAATACAAAAATATTCTGTAGCACAGTAAGATCTACTGTAGAAAATTTCATCAAGATTGGCTAAGAAAAAGTTACTAAAGAAAACGTGTTTTGGCTTTCCTCGTATCAGCGGCAGCAAGTGCAAATTCCAAGAATTTCAGTTTCGAGTTCGAACCCTGCCAAGAGAATTTTTTAGCGAGCATTTGGTGTTGGAATAAGAGGGTTCAGGGTATCCCCTAGTCGGGAGCTCCCGAGTAGAACTTCTTACTTGTTTTAATATGCCTTACCCCGTATCAATTTCTCCACATTCATGTATTTATATCCCTTAATTAATCTTTCTTTGATGACTTTTACGCTTCAAACATCATCATGGAGTTTTAGAAGCCCATATTTACGCCTGAGTATAACAAATATGTATAAAGTTTGTGGTTCCAGCAGCTAGTTCCACCAACAAGTGGCAACCGCATACAAGAACCCCAACAAGAACCCCAACAAGAACCGCATACAAATTCATAAAAACGTTTAAAAACACGCAAAGTGAAATACCTTCCCTCTGCCCCTCATGCCCTTACGGACGCCAAGCTGACCAACGAAGCCCCAACATGAAATTCCCAGACAAACAGGAGCGCAGGACCCAAGGACCCCGACTGCCCTCATAATGAGGAAGCCAGGGCAGGAGCTGGAGCAGGAGCTGGAGCTGAGTCTGAGCTCTGATTCGGGTCGGCAGCTGGGGGCCTCGTATTTGTGGTGCTGGTCAGCAGCAAACATTGCAATTTCATTTAATAACAAAATATTTGGACAGCAACAACTTTGGGCTGGAGAGCAGAAGACCCAGTTAGAACTTACAGCAAGAGGGCGAGAGGGCGAGAGACACAAGAGGGTGCAGCAGGGGGCAGCAAAATGATTACGTCTTTATGCAGAAATTATTTATGATTGCATTGTCTAGACTTCATGGCGCGCACAATGCACCGGAATTCCGCGACGCCAGAGAAAGCCCCAAAACTGAAACCTAACAATGTTTGCTGGGGTAATTTATGTGCTGATTGCTCATACGCCACGTGTGTCAGGAGTCGCTTAAAGACGCTTAAATGCCGCTTTGCGCGCTGCAGGATAAACTTTGCAAAGATATATTTGCCTAAGTTCTGTACAAACGTGTTTATTCGAATCCATTTGTGACGCTTGGAATATCAGTTTGTTAGATCTTTGAATAAATGATTAATTTAATCAAGCTAAGACAGCTTTTTGATAAAGGAGGTCTTAATTAAAATTTAAGCAGAGACTTTGGTAAACTTCTGGTCGGATGTTCAGTGATTGCTGTTCCTGCGGGTACATACTCTTAAAATCTGAAGAAATAAAAATTTTGAGGACTAGATTATTCATAGCATAACTCCATTTAATACTGTACTGTACTGTACTCACTGTAACTTCTTTGAGCAGTAAGTGACTAGATCCATTACAATTCAATAATAATATCATTATTAATGTAATAAACATCTTATAGACTCTAAAGGTGTTCGAACCTCAGTTTTCCTTTGCTCTTCCTTCATTCCTTCTTTTTAATTAATCGTAGAACTATGCTTGGTGTAACATAAAGTCATAAGTTAATTACAATGAAATAGACTCTTCTGCGTTGACTAGCCAACTAAACTTCTCTGTCCCTACTAGACTAACACGTAATTATACACCTTTATCGCTTAACTGTAATATGTTTAACTAACTATGCCTTGAATGAACCGTTCCGGATCCTCTGTGATGATTACAACAATCATTCCGGAGTATTCCACTCGGAGTGTTCTAAACAATTTGGCAAGTAGATTGTCTATATCTATAGTCTTAGTTTGTATTCGTTTCGCGACTTATGTCTTTCGTTACAAAGCTGTCGGTTGGGCGGGAGGTGGGAGGTGGGATGCAGCACATTATTTTCAGATAGATCTATTGATCTATGCACTTAAGTCCCTGAATCTACATTAAATCAAAAACATGGTACAAGCCTAAGCTTTTAAGCTCTGAGTAATTACTAATATAATGCTTTTTATTTGTTTAGAAAAGCCTTGTAGAAATTAAATAAAAATGGGAGTTAGTACCTAATTATCTGTATATTGAATAATGAAAAGTAATTGTTTAGGCAAAGATTACCCAATCTAACAGCTGTAGCAACACCTGCTGGTTGTCAATCTTTGATTATTGACACCTCCCAAAGCGACAACTTTAAGCTGGACCTTAGCTCGGGACGGGTAGGGAGCTGATTGCAAAAAAAAAAAGAGGAAAAAAAGAGGCCTGTAAATTGCATTGGCAGAATTTAATTAACGTCGCATTGAATTTTAATCAAGTTCATTCAACGGCGACAACGACAACGTGACATTATTTGCATGCGAAATTAACCTGTGACACGCGAAAGAGATAGAGGTGAGAGATGCAGAGAGAGAGAGGGAGAGAGGGCAGAGGAGCGCGCGCTGGCGTTCGCGGTCGACAGGTGGCGCCCTTTGACAAACATGACACGACACGTTGTAAAAAAATAAACTGGAATGGATACATTTTTTATACAGCACCTGTAAAATATATATGCACATGTGTTTATATTTGTCTGGTCTGCAATATTTGTACCCTATAACCATTGCAAATGTGCAGCCGACCCTATAAAGGTCGTCTATTTTATAGACACCGTTATTTTTAAGACACCTCTCGCGTGCTCGAGAACTTTTAAAGACATAGCCTTTATTTTTGGGATGCAGACACATTTGAGTATCATCTTAAATGCCTGAAAAACTCAGTTATATCAGACTTTAATAACAAGAGTTATTAAAGAATAAATACTCTAATATGGGCCTGAGAGGAGAACAAGCTTGTGGCAGGTGAATCTTGTGTTTGTAGGGTATCTATTAGTCGTGCACATGGACTTTAACCTTCTGCCCGGGTTCAATATGTTGTTTGGTTTGTCATTATGTCAATAGATTGAAATTTGTGATTTCAGTGGAGAGAGCAAGAGACAAAAGCCAGTTAGAGAGAGACAGAGAAATTGAGGATTGGTTACATGTTATCCAGCCGCACACGGATAAAACCCTATTAAAGTTGGACTTTAAAATTTGAATTCGAATTCGACTCCGAACAAATCAAAACTATCCGAAACCTTCATTTGGCAAGCAATTCAATTGTGCAGTACGCAAATAACAGGCATTTAGCATGGATCCTTCGTCGGTCGCCGGCAATTTGTAGTTGGGCAACAATTACAGCAAAATATGTAAACAAATTTGCAACAATTCGACAGAGAACATGTTGTTCGCATTGCTCCCAAATGCTGGTTGGCTCCCATTTCTGTTGATTATTAGACGCTGCCTGTTTTCGGCTCTTATTGGTTGGCCTGGCTGGCTTTTAATTGAAATATGATTTTCCGTCTAACAATGATTGGAAGAGCAGTTGGTGCCGCTGCCCGTCTGACGTCATGTCAAAAGCAAGCTAAATTTGATCTCCAGTTTCGACAGTATGCAAAGTGCATGCACGACACGTCTGTTAGCCTGTCATGCAGGGACGGGGCTGCTGGTCAACGGGGAGCATGCAAAGCCAGTGCCCACAAGAGCATTCTAGTCGGTAATAAATGACTAACAGATACCCTGTAAACAGTTGTCATAGCAAGCATTCCTGCTTCCTTCTACACACACACACACACAAGCAAGCCAGGCGCTGGTTGCCTCTTCTGATTTCCTTGGGATCACACTCTGAGCAAACTGTCCTTGATTAACTTTGGTATTTATCTTGCGATCATTATGAAATTTTCAGTGCATAAATATAACATGCAACCGTGTGTAAATACCAAAGCCCAAGGCTATAGCTTAAGAAATGCGTGTTTTGCCATAGTTTTCGGCGGGGAACGGGGGAGGTATTCAAAAAAGGAAATATTCATAATTTGTGTAAGCTTAACAAAAGCCTACATAACAAATTAGGCATATTTAAATACTATGAGCTCCAAGATAATTTCAAAAACTAGGGTATCGATTTTAATCGATGTGGGAGCAAGCCCTGTTATCGATGTTTTAAAACAAACTTTTCCTGCACTGGAAAAACCTGCTGTCAAATTATTAACTCTCTAACTCTTATAGTCTCTCAGATCAGACGGACATGGCTAGATTCACTCGGATTCGAAGAAGCTTATGTCTGACTCTAACATGGCCTTGACAAAAACATTATACCCTTTATGTCCAATTTCAAGGGGCATAAATGCTGAAGGCTTCAACTCTTCAGCTGCTTGGAAGGCAAACTTTATTCATACGGTATGCCGGGCACATAAAACTAGACAAAACTGTCATGTTTCATGGTCGAACAGGGCAGGTTGGCAGCGGCACTCGAATCCCTAAATACAACCGAAAAGTCACAAAGTTTTTGGCCATTGCAATATGCAAAATATGTCGAGGCGTCGAAATATGCAAATCTAGCTGGCCAGCAAAGAGAGAGAGGGGGAGAGAGAGAGAGGGGGGAGAGAGAAACGACAGCCAATAATTTGAAACAGCAGTTGCTGGGAAATCATTTTTGGTTTTTCCAAGAGAAAAACACTTGAAAGCCAAATTGAAAATGTACTGAACATTGAAATTTTGTGTAGCTCCAAGGGAAGGTGCACGGTTTTCGACCAGAGTTGAACTGCTTTGACAATTCAATTAGGTTGTAGCGCCTAA